TCAGGGCCTGGCCTAACTTCCTGGCGCTTGAGGGATGGTTGCTGGGTCGGGAGCAGGCGTGGTTCTCCTTCCCACAGTGGATCCGGCCCGGCCTACCTTCCCGGTGCTTGAGCGATGGTTGCTGGGTCGGGAGCAGGTGTGGTTCTCCTTCCAAGGCTGGTTTCAAACTCACAGCGATCCTCCTGCCTCAGCCTCCTGAGTGTTGGAATTACAGGCGTATTCCACCTGCCTGGCTATTCAGTCTTTTTTTTTTTTTTGGTACTGGGGATCAAACTTGGGTCCTTATGCTTGCGAGGCAGGCAGTGGAACCACTGAGCTAAATCCCCAGCCTTAAATTTCTGTAATAATTACAACTTTTTTTTTTTGGTACGGGGGAATCAAACTCAGGACCTTGCGCTTGTGAGGCAGGTGGCAGAACCATTGAGCTAAATCCCCAGCCCCCAGCTATTCAGTCTTTTTTTTTGGGGGGGGTACCGGGTATCAAACAATCCCCGGCCTCTGGGCTATTCATTCTTAGAAGAAGATTCCATCACACTACAGCACAGATGAACCTTAGGATATTAAGGGAAATAAGCCAGTCACAACCAAAGAAATAATAATATGATTCCACTTCTGAGGGATGTCATCTAAAGCATCCACACTTGTGGAAACTGAAAGTAGATTGTGGTTACCAGGGGCAGGAGGGGGTGAAAGAGGGACTTGTTCAGTGGGTAATGAGTTTCAGTTTTGCAAGATGAAAAGCCGTGGTTGCTAACAATATGAATATAGTGGTATCCTAGCTCCTCGGGAGGCTGAGGCAGGAGGACTGGCTGGTGAGCCCATGAAGTGCAGACAAATTTGGTAACACAAGAAACCTCCTCAAAAGACAAGAAAAAACAATGTAAATATAGTCAACATCACAAAACTGTGTACTTAGAAATGGTTAAAATGGGCCATGTATAGTGGTATACACCTATAATCACAGGTACTTGGGAAGCTGAGGCGGGAGGATTGCTGTGAGTTCAAGACCAGCCTGGGCTACATAGTGAGTTCCAGGTCAGTCCCAACTACACAGTGAGACCCTGTCTAAAAAAAAAAAGAACAAATGAAAAAATTCCAGGTCCAGATAACTTTGCTAGTGAATTCTGTAAAATTTTTAGGAAGAAAGAATCCTAGCCCACGCATGGTGGCACACACCTGTAGTCCCAGGGAGGCTGAGGCCAGCCTGGGCTGCATAGTAAGTTCAAGGTCAGCCTGAACACCATCATGAGATCCTATCTAAAAAAAAAAAAAAAAAGAAAAGAATTCAAATTCTTCCAGAAAATAGAAGCAAAGAAAACACTCTCCGACTAATTTTTTGAGATCAGCATTTCCCTGATACCAAAACCAAAGACATTGCAAAAAAAGAAAATTATGAGCTAGTTTTAAATGGTCATCCGCTGGTATGGTGTGATTAAACTACAATATCTGAACTCTTAAGTGAAATAAATAGGACACACATGTGTAAATACCAAAGCGTTCTCTAGTGTGAAAAACTGAAAGTGTAAATAAGGACTAAAAGGTGTAATAGATAATGTGAAATAGGGAGTAAAGGTGCGAAGGGAAGTGAGAGGGAAAAGAAAGAAGGGAATGGAATTGATATAAAAAAAGACAAAATGGAAACAAAGTTTTGTAGATAGGGAGGGGTAGAGGGGTTAAAGGGAGGGCAGGGGAGTGGGGAAAAATAAGAACCAAGATGGATTATGTAAAGGTGCAAATTTCCAATGACGAATGTCATTATACTGTAGACCTTAAACGTACCAATAAAATTAATTAAAAAAAACAAACACACTAGAATATCTGACATCATAACTAGGCCACAACAGATTCTATGACAATTTATGTAAAGTTGGAAACAGAAGAATAGGTCTATGTGCCCATGTGTACGTACAGAAAGATGCTAAAAATGGAAATTCTGGATCATATTTTATCCTTTTATGGTCTGAATTTTTAAGATGAACATAAATGAATAAGAGTAAAATAAACTACCTTCATTTTGAAAATGTAGGGCTGAGGATTTAGCTTAGCGGCCCTGAACCTGCCTCGGAAGTACAAGGTCCTGAGTTCGATCCCTGGTACCCATTAGAAGAAAGTGTAACACAAATTCCCTAATCAAGAGGACTGAAAGATGCAATGATCGGAACCAATGTCAGGTGACTCAAAGAGACAAAGGCTGGATGGTGACACACGTCTGTAATCCCAGCACTCAGGAGGCTGAGGCAGGAGGATCACCGAGAGAGAGTTTGAGGCCAATATGGGCTACAAAGTGAATTCCAGACCAGCATAGACTACATAGCAAGATGTTGTCTCCAAATAACCGAAAAACAAGGGCTCAGTGGCAGCGCACTTGCATTGCAAGTGCAAAGTCCGGAGTTCGATACCCAGCACCAGAAAAATAAATAAATAAATGAAAGAATGAATGAATGAATGTAAAACCAAAGAAGCTTCAGCCTTGCCCAAGGTCAAAGCACTAGTCATTCCCCTTTAGACAGGTTCTTCCCCCAGAATACTTCTTCCATGTCCCGACTTAATCAAATTTCTCTATACTATGTCCTAGGTTCCTGAGGGAAAACGGTCCTCTTCCTGCTTGAGCTCTCGGTTTTGATTTCTATTTCAAGCTTCCCTTCCTGGTGGTCACCTGCCTGTTACCTACCTACCTGGTCAGAGGGGCAGGAAACCCTCAGCCTCTGTCTTCAGCAATCCTCAGGCTGCATTTCCTCTGACTTCTAGCAATTCTTTTTTCTTTTCTTTTCCTTCCCCCGCCCTTCTTTGAGACAGGGTCTCATTACCTATGTAGCCCAGGCAGGGCGATGCTCCTGCCTCAGCCTCCTGACTGCTGGGATTTCAGGTGTGTGTCACTATTATGCCTGACCTAACTTTTCTTGGCTTCACACATGCCAGATGAGCACTCCATCTCTGAGCTACATCCCCAGCCCTGCAGCACTCATGTTTCTCTTTCTCGAACACTCAAACACTCATCTCACATGTTGAGACCCAACCCACTCTGCTGTGGATCCCAGCCTTTTCAGACAGGCTTGCCCCGCCCTCCCATTTATAAAAGACCTCATCTGGGATTCCCTTCAACTCCTCCAGCTCCAAGTCAGAGGTGGGAAAACGGCAAGCTCAGATGTGTGTTTAATTTTATTTAGGCTGGGTGAGGTGGCACACACATCTGTAATCCTAGCACCCAAGAGGCTGAGGCAGGAGGATCACTACCAGTTCTAAGCCAGCCTGGAGTACACAGTGAGTTCAAGGACAGCCTGAGCCTACCTAGGGAGACCCTATCTCAAAAACCCAAAAATAAAATTTTAAAAATTATTCATGTCTAACATTCAAAAGTTTTAAAGGGCTGAGGATGTAGCTTAGGTGTAGAGCACTTGCCTAGCATGTGTGAGATCCTGGGTTTGACCCCTAGCACTGCCAAAGTGGGGAGAATTTAAGATGGTAAACTTCATGTTATATGCATTATCACAATGACAAATATTTAGCAGGACTGGGGATATAGCTCAGTGGTGTAGCACCTGCCTGGCAAGCACAAGGTCCTGAGTTTGAACCCTGTAAGGCACAATAATCAAACAGAAATTCAGCAGGGCCTAGTGGCACATACCTGTAACCCCAGCTACTTAGGTAGCTGTGGCAGGAGGATCACAAATTTGAGCCCAGCCTGTGCAATTCAGCAAGATCCTATCTGAAACTAAAAAATAAAAAAGGGTAAAGATATAACTCTGCGTAAAGACTGGTTTAGCCTCCTGTTCCACAAAGAAAAAATAAATTTAAAATTTTTCTTTTCTTTTCTTTTCTTTTTCTGTTTTTTTGAGAGTCTCACTGCATGCTCCAGGCTGGCAGGACGTGGGGATTTAGTTCAGTGGCACTGCACCTGCCTCACAAGCACAAGGTACTGAGTTTGATCCCTAGTACCCAGGGAAAAATAAATAAATAAATAAATAAATAAGAACTCATAGTCCAAGATGGCCTGGAACTCCTTTTGCAACCCAGACTGGCCTCAAACTCCTGGCAATCCTCCTGCCTCAGCCTCCTGAATTCTGGGATTACAGGTGTCCATCTTCACAACCAGTTTCTACTTATTTAAATATTGCTCTTCCTCATTCCTCACTCATCCATAAAGCCTTCTCCAACAGTTCTGATTCTCAGGGAGTTTCTCCTTCTTTTGTATTCCGGAACACTAGTTATCTCTTTTGAATACATCCCATCCACGCAGTTGTGCTCAAAGTCCCTCATTTATTCAACAAACATCAGTAACTACTCTGGGCCATGTACTGTTCTAGGCACAGAGTCACAAGAGTGAGCCAGGAAGATCAGGTCATGAGGCTCCTACTTTCTTATTCTTTGTATGACTACGTAGTTCAACTGGTCTTGAACTCACTGTATAGCACAGACTGGCCTCAGACTTGTGACGATCCTCCTGCCTCAGCCTCCAGACTGTTGGGATTATAGGGGCACCTACTTTCTAGTGGGCACAGATACGGAGAGAAAGACAGACAACATTTCACACCCTGATATGCCTTTGAGGGCGGAACAGGGTGATAACCTAGGGAATGGTTACGTGAGGTGGGGGAGCCTTCTGAGTAGAATCATGAACGCCTGTGACATGGTAGACTAAGCAGAGCCCTGAAGATGAGAAGGAGCCAGCTCTGGGAAAGGGTGCTCCGGACAAAGTGAACAGCAAGACTGGGCCCCAGGTCCAGGAAACAGAAAGAGCTGGTGTGGCTATAGTGTCCGAAGTAAGGATGGACAAGATGAGGTCAAAGATGTAAAAGAAGGCTCAGACTCTAAGGGTGACCATGACGCTACATCTTCACGTTCAAGGGTGCACACTCAGTATTTGAGACTTGCTACCATTTACATGTCAGAGATGTCCACGGTCGCTCTGACCCGCCATCCGGCAGCTGGATGATACTAGCGTTCCTTTCCTGACTACAACCGCTTCCCAGCAGCACCATCAGGCCCAGAGAAATGCTTACCCCTTTGATGAAGGTGGGTTTGTCCTTGACACCAAAGTTCCAGAGCATGATATCACCCCCCTTGGAGGCCACAGCCAGGGTGCTGGGGTGCGCCGGGTGCCAGGCCAAGGCTGTGGCCCTCCTGTCAAATGGGGAGGCTTTCTGGGCTATCCGGTAAGAAGCCAGGGAGTGTACGAAGGACCGCTGCAGACCCTGACACGGAGGAAGGGAGGATGAAGGGGATTAGCGACTTAAATCCCAAGTCCTGGATAAACCGCCTACCCAGCTCCTTCAGAGCTGAGCCCTAAGCCAAGTCCAAGTCCGACCATGCCTGGCATGAAATCATCTGCAGTGGACTTGAACAAACTAATCACGGAAAGCAAGGAGCAGAGTATACTCCAACTAACACCTTTACTTCATTCTTTCTATTTCTAGTTTTGTTTTTTTGAGGCTATGAGAGTTTGGCTATGTAGTCCAGGTTGGCCTTAAACTCACTATGTAGCCCAGGCTGGCCTTGAACTCACAGCAATCCTCCTGCCTCAGCCTCTCAAGTGCTGGAATCACAGGCGTGTGCTGCCACACCCTGCTCATGCTTCCTTTACAGAGTAAGACTTGTCTTCCTGCCTGAGTTCCCTGGAGCCCGAGCTGCAGGGTCAGAGTGATAACAACCCAGCCTGCAGGAAAAGGGCAGAGGAAACCTTGGGGCTCTGGGCTAGGAGATGTCTCACCTGCTGTATCGTAGGCCAGGCAGCCTTGCCTAGTTTATGCTGGTGCAGGACCCTGATGATGCTGCTGCCCACTTCCGGGACCTGCATGCTTGCCAGCCCCGCCCAAAGGCAGCCTGAGTCATATCTCCTGTTAGGACCTGCCAAGAGCAACAGACACATATTTTCCTCTGCAATCGCACAGGTTTTCAGCTGAAATAGCCTAAACAAAGCCAAGGTTTCACTCAAAATGGCCAATATGTCTCATTGCCTCCTAATCCCTTTCCACGGTCTGTGTGAGAACTCAGCACAGGGAACAACCACTTAGCAGAGATGTGACCTATCCCCCAAAACAGTGCCCATGAGGATTGAGTGGGGCAGCACTGGAGGTTGAACCCAGGGCCTCTGCAGGGAGCTGCAGCCCCAGCCCTTTTTATTCTGAGAATCTTTTTATTCTGCTACATTGCCAGGGCAGGGCTCAAACTTTTCTCCTGCCTCAGCCTCCCAGTGCTGGGATTATAGGGTGAAAAATGATCTTGCAGGGTTCCCCAGAGCTGAGCCAAAGATCCACTCAAGAGTTTAGTACCCTGCAGAACTCTTCTCCTGTGGACTGGAAAGCTGGAGTTGGACTGGGTTGACAATTTAAAAACCACGTGATAAAAGACTTTAGGACAGTATTAAAGTGACTAGGAAAAAAATTTTTTTAAAAAATCCTATACTAAAATAATGTAGCAGTGACCAGCTGTCAATCCTAAATCCTGTTTTCTGGGCACAGAGAGGATCTAGTAGGATCTGGAATAAATCTAAATTAGGTTACTTCTCAGGCGGCGAGTTGAATGTTTATATAAGATAAAGCAAATCTGGATCTCCAAGCTATATTAGTGGACCAAACCTCCACGGCTCAACTTCTCTTGACCACCAATTCCTTTTTCTCGGAGACAAAAACCACTTCTTCAACCCCCACTTCAGTCCTTTGAGTTCCCCCACAGTCTACGGCCCCAGGCTCACATTCTGGTAAACCACTGAGGATGAGAAGGAAATTGCGGCTCCCACAGCTGAAAGCAAAGACAGGCAGGTAAGAAGCTGGCCCAAGGAGCCGGGGGTGGTGGAGCAGGCTTGTAATCTCAGCATCCTGGGAGGCTGATGCAGGAGGATCAGAAGTTCCAGCCCTGGCTAGGCAACTGGGGGACTCAGTGAGACCCTGTCTCAAAATAAAAATGCTGCGGTTGCAGCTCTGTGCGAAGACCCTGGTTCAATTCCCAGTACCGTGAAAAACAGAAACGCTCAGCACCCAGAGCCAGGAAAGTAGGGTTCCTTCAAGCAGCCCTCGAAGTAGATAATCTATTCACACCAGGACCGTAAATACGCTACTCTGCTTCTTCCTTTCACTTGAGGGTGGGGTGGGGGACAGTCTACTGGGGGGGCAGGGCACCAGCGGGACCCGGGGCTCCTGGGAATCGGGGCGCCCGTCCCCCCCTAGCTCTCCGGCGTGAGCACCCGTACAGCGCAAAGGGGTAAGCAGAGGCAGGCGAGGCAGTACCGGGGCCCTTCGCGCGGGGCTTCTTGGCCGCGGGCTCCGGCTCCCGGGGACTCCTCCTGCTCCCGGGGCGCACCACCACTTTGGGGGTCTTCTGGGTTTCTGGGCGCTTCCTGGGAATCATCGCGTCCTCGGAGCGAAGGGCGTAAGCCCTACGCCGAGTTCATGGACAGAGAACTGAGAGCCTCTGAGGAGAGTCAAGACGACGATGACAACCCCCACCCCGCGCCGCCACAGGCAGTCGCGCTAAGCAAACTTCCCGCCAAACAAGCCCGGGGCTAGTCAGCCACGAGCTCAGGCCAGAGGCCGGCGTGCGTGCTTGTGCGTGCGTGCGTATTGCGTGAGGGGAGGGGCCTGCTAACCCAAATGGTGTGGGCAGGGGAATTTTTCTCGCCAAGAACTTGGCATCTTCCCTGGTTGTTGGGCTTGACAAAACTTGATCGCTGGTGTGTGAACTTCAAAGATATGAACATTGTCCAAATTATGGAAACAACCAGGCATCTCCCTATTTTGACCAGTAAGAAGTCTCGCCAATCACAGCCTCAGCGTTACTCTCTTCCACCTCAAAGATAAGTTTTATTAGAGGCGCTGCAAGGTTCAGATAGGACTAGAAAGTGCTGGTGTGTTATTGTGACTATAGATAATGATCACATATATTTTTTAAGAACTTGCCAGACGTGGTGACTCACGCCTGTAATCCCAGCACTCCAGAAGCCGGGAGTTCGAGGCCTGCCTGGGCTACACAGGGAGACCTTACCTCTAAAAATAAACAAACAAAAAACCCATACACTTCAATGCTGCCGATCTGATCAGGGAATGAGGGTGCAGCATCCCTCTGTTGCAGGCCATGGAGCGCCTGTGCTGTGAAACCTGGACAGGTGTTTTGGTTCTCTCTATACTACCACTTGGTGGGGGCGGTTCCGGGGATCAAACTCTGGACCTTGACCTTGAGAGGCAGGCCACGGAACCACTGAGCTAAATCCCCGGCCCTGTGCTACTACTTTTGACATAAGGCAACTCATTCAAAAGCTTCTGGTGACAGCAAATCGAGGTCCCGTGTTCCCCTTGGAACCAGACAGACCAAGAGCGTGACCCTAAATAATGCCAGTTTCTTTTATTCTCAAAACAATAAGCAACTTTATTGATGTGCTTTCTAGAACAAATGATATAGCATAGTGGAAAAGCATTGTGCTCTGACAATGTGATCTCGGGCTTATCATTTTACTTTTCCATGCTTTCAATTCCCCATCACAAAATGAAAAGGGAGGGTCTAGATGGCCTCGGCATCCCCTTTTGGGTTGGCCTCAAACTCACAGCAATCCTCCTGCCTCAGCCTCTGGAGTGCACAGGTGTGCTTACCAGGCCCAGCACCTTTTAGTTGGTAAAACCTGTGATCTTCTGACTGGTTGTAAAAGCGGCAAATGACAGCTTTCCACTCTAGTCTCCCTGGCAGTTTCCATGCAGGAGAAACCGTTGTTTGCAGGCTGATACATGAGGGGTTCTGCTCAAGCAGTCCGTGAAGCCAAGCACTGTGCTGAGTCTGCAGAAGCATCCAAAATCCACACAGACGAGGCGTGCGGATTCCCACACACAGGCAGCGCATCTAGTGGTTTGCAAATGACAGCCTCAGCGATTCTGCAGAGTTTGCAGGCACTGAAGCTGAAATTCCTCCAAAGGACTGGGCTAAGGAGGACTCAGCCTCCAGAGTTCTTATTGCTTGGCATCCCCAGTCCACGTTCAAATGCCCAGATATGACCAAATTCATAGTAAGATTCTATGGAAGCATGACTCCTCCCTCTGGGAATATTAAATATTATATTCAAAAATATAATTTGAGGTTTGGATGCAGTTCAGTGGTAAAGCATGCATCAAACTCCAGGCTTAGAAAATTGAGGGTAGTTGTAGAAACAGCAGACATCTGATCAATTCTAACCCAAAACAAGCACTCTCTCTGTTTTCTTTTCTCTTTCTTTGTTTGCTTCTTTTTTTCCAGTACTGAGGACTGAACTCAGGACCTTGAACTTATGAGGCAGGTGCTGTACCACTGAGCTAAATCTGTGGCCCTTTATTTTTGTTTTTTTGAGATAGCATCTCACTATGTAGCTGAGTCAGGTCTTGAACTCACTATATGGTCCAGGCTGGTCTCAAACTCAGAAATCTTCCTGCCTCAGCCTCCTGAGTGCTGAGCCTTCTGTCTTTACTGTGGGGGATAAGGCAACATCCACATCCTACATCAGTGTCTGTCATGAAATACCATCAGTACAAGACTCCGGGGCTCTTCTCCAAGCAGCTGGATTTGCACAGCAATTGCCAGAATGTTGGTACCATCCATCATGGCTTGTGTTTGGATGTCCCACAAAGCCTCATGTGGTCATAGGTGGGGCTTTTTCAAGGTGCCTGGATCTAGAGTGTTGACAGTGGAATTGATTCATAGTGCAGTGTTAGGCTTAAAAGCATTAGGATTATGGGTGTGAGTGCTGCCCACCCTAAATAGCCTGGATAAGATTTAAAAACAAAACAAAACAAAGAACTGTTAAGGTCCCTGTTACTTTGCTTCTTTCTGCCCACCATGAGCTGTTTCTCCTTTGCAAGCCCCTTTGCCTCGCCACCCTGTCTTGGAGCCAGACAATTATAGACTGAAATCTCTACAAGCTGTGAGCTAAATACCCCCACACACACCTTTTTGGTACTGGGAGTCAAACTCAGAACCTTGTACTTGCCAGGCAGGTACAGCACCACTGAGGTACATCCCTGGTCTCCCCTTTTAGTACCAGGGATCGAACTTGGGTCCTTGTGCTTGTGAGGCAGGTAGCAGAACCACTGAGCTAAAGCCCTGGCCCATAAGACACCATCTTACTTGGAATGTTTTATTGGAATCTTAGTACTTAGTGGAATGCTTTGCAATCTGTAAGAAGTTGTTATATAATCTTCTGTGGGTGTGCTTTTTGCTGATAAGATCCGATAAAAGTGCTGAAGGCTCTGGCGGTCTCCAAAGCCCTCACCTGTCAGATCTCTATCATGGATAGAGCAGGGATACCAGAGAATCAGGAAAATGGGCTTCCTAGATCTTCTCCTTCTAGGAATCTTCCCCAAAGAGTTAAAGCCATCATATCCTAGTCGTCCGTACACACCCATGAGTACAGCAGCGCAGTTCATAATTGTGAAATGTCAGGAGCAGCTTATATGTGCATCAACAGATGCATGGATAAAGAAAATGTGGTGTTTATACACAGCAGAGTATGAGCCTGCTATAGAGAAGGGTGAATTTGAGTCACTGGTAGGAAAATGGACGCACCTTGAGATCGTAATGTTAAATGAAATAAATCAGACACACAAGCTTAAATATGGCATCAGTTCTCTTACACGAGAGACCCAAAGTATAAATAAAGAACAAAATAAAAGCTAGACAATAGGAAACAGGGAGGAGGATCTTTTGCAAAAGAGAAGGGGACCAAGAGACAGAAGGATAGGGCTGGCAGGGAGGGGAAGGGAATAAGAAAAGGATTCACGCATGTTAAGTGCATGCACCCACGAGGAATGTGATCATTATGGACTGCAAAGGCGCACCAAGAAAAATAAAGAAATCACCAGCTTCCATTGCCTGAAAAAAATAAAAAGAAATAAGAGGATTGGGTCCTAGCTCATTCTTCTGACACAAAGTTCTCTTCCAGGGACTTCAGAGGCCCCGGAGGCAGGAAGGAAAGTGGCTCTGTGCTCTGCGGGCAGATGAGTCACAGGGCAGCCCGAGCCACATTCCTTTTCAGTCCCTGCGGCCCACCCTCCTCCTCGGCCCCTCACTGTGACACTGTAATCCAGAACTCGTAGCCCCACGCCCTCCTGGGGACACCCATGACATCAACAACAGTATGACACAGCACCCGGGACATCCCATCAGCATCGCAAACCCAGTGGGTCCTGGCTAAGTGGGGTCCTGGCACAAACCCACACCCACCCTCGGACCGCCGAGTCTGAGGGGCACCTTTGCCCACGTGTGTACCAACCATCCGCTGGTGCTCCATTACCCCTCTGTCCTAAGGCCTGAGTCAGTTTGTCCATAGCTGGAGCCAGTGTAGACAGCCAAGCCACCAGGGTGTTGGTAGTCCTAGGACTGCTGGGCTCCTTTATGAAATGAGATTAAAGAAAATTAAGCCTCCAGCTTGAAAAACTCAGAAAGCATTTCCCGAGACTCCCGAGGCTAACAGCTTCGGCCCCTGGTTCGCCTGGCACAGCCGGGTGACCAGTGATCCCCGAAAGGTAAGTCAGCCTCCCAGACCCAGCAGCTACCGCTCTTATCTCCTTGGGGTCTTTGCAGATGCTTTGAAAATGAGACGATTATTCTGGATTACCTGGGAAGCTCTACATCCAGTGGCAAGTACACTTTTTTTGTTATGTCTTTTTTTTATATATAAATTTTTTGAGACTGAGTCTCACTACGTAGTTGAGACTGACGTGGAACTCACTATGTAGCCCAGTTGGTCTCGAACTCACAGTGATCCTCCTGCCTCAGCCTCCCGAGTGCTGGGATTACAGGCGTGCGCGTCACCACGCGGGGCCAGCAAGTACACTTTTAAAAGTGACACACAAAAAAAGAAAGACTGAGGCCCAGGGGAGACAACACAGCCACAGGGAGGACGAAGACGGATGGAGGCAGATTGGGGTGATGAGGCGCCGAGAGAGTGCCAAGGCCGCAGTTGTGATTCTCTCATTCTGGGTTCCTGTTGTTTTCCATCACCCTGCAGGGTCCCAGCGGCTTTGACAAACTCCCAGCCTGCCTTTCCCGGGGCCAAGCCTGATGGAGCGGGAGGTTTGCTCACTGCCCCAGGCTGGGCAGCACTGCTTCCCTGATTCCACGCTGGTTTTCTCCTCTGTCACCTGGGAGGGCTGGTGCCGCTGCACAGGGATGGCCGTGAGGCTCAGGGACAGTGAAGAGCAGGATGCTTGGTGTCTGACACCACCCCTGCCCGTGTCCCCACCCTCTCTCCGTCCTGCTGGCCCAGAGCAGTGACCACCTTGGTTTCTGCTCAGAGTCTGGGTCCCTGGCTAACCCTGCACATCAACAACAGTGTGACACGGCCCTCATTCCATTAGCATTGCAAACCCAGTGTGTCCACAAGCGCTCTCCTTCCTGCGGAGAGGGAACAGGGTCTTGCCATGTTGCCCAGATTGATCTTGAATTCTCTGGGCTCAAGCTATCCTCCTGTCTCAGCCTCCTAAGTATCCAGGGTACAGCCATGAAGCACTGTGCCGTTTTGAAAGTGTGCTTAGCTGGGCACGGTGGCGCACCCCTGTTACGCC